AATAAACTGAGTTTTGAAATTACCTTTGTAAAACAAATAGTTATAAACAACTACATGGAATCTTTGTATAAGATTAATATTTTTATTTAGGGGTTTGGCTAGAATTCTCTGTCAATTCCTCAAATGGGGTATTAACTGTAATTAAAAATATAGCACTAGTCAGGACCTCGATAGTTTTCTTAGTTTAGAAAATATAAACATATTGTTTTTAATTTATAAGAAAACTGACAGGGCTCTGACTAGTTTCATCTGAAGGGCATTAATTCCTTGACTGCTCAGGACCTTGACAGTTTACCTAGTTTAAAACACTAAAAAACAAACTGTTTATAACTAATTTTTTGATTTATAGGAAAACTGAAAAGGCCCTGACTAGTTTCCTCCGAAGTAGGACAATGATTCGTTAACTTGTTAGGGTCTAGAAAGTTTACCAAGTTCAAACTTTGTAAACAAATTATAATTAATTTTTTCATGTATAGGAAAACTAACTATTTCTTGACTAGTTTCCTACGACATAGGTTATTGTTTCATTGACTAATTAAGCTAGTTTTCCTAATTTCAAAAAATTGACCGAGAATTCCCTGTTGAACCCCAATTGAGGTATCAACTATAATTTAAAATAGGGCACAAGTCAGTACCTCAATAGTTTTCCTAGTTTAAAAAATATAAGCTTACTGTTTTTTATTGATAAGAAAACTAAACAAGGCCCAGACTTGTTTTCTCTGAAGGGTATTAATTCGTTGACCAGCCAGGGGCTAGATAGTTTTCCTAGTTTAAAAAAAGGAAAACAGTTTTTAATTTATTTTTTTATTTATAGAAAAACTGTCAAGGTACTGATTTGTTTCCTCCGAAGAAGGGCATTGATTCGTTGACTATAGTCAGGGTCTAGGTAATTTTCCTAGTTTAAAAACAAATTTAAACACAGTTTTTTCTTTATTTTTTAATTTATAGGAAAATTGTCAAGGCCCTAACTAGTTTCCTCCGACGTAGGAGATTGATTCGTTGACTAGTCAGGGCCTAGATAGTTTACCTAGTTTAAAAAAAATCAATTCATAGGGAAAACTGACAAGGTTCTGACTAGTTTCCTCCGAATTAGGGCATTTAAAACAGCATAGCAGCCTTTATCAGTTTTTCTGATATCAAAAATAGGAAAAAGTTTCCTTTCAGGCCCACATTTCAATTTCTATACATGAAATTTTTTTTATTTTTAATTTTATAATTTCCGACAAAACTTAGATAGTTTCCATAATTATTATTGTTTAAAAAAACATTCATTTAAATTTATGTGAGAAAAATTTAGATCGAAATATCCACTATTTCTCATATATATAAAATATTATTCGAAGGCTGAAGATATTTTTGCAATCAATGCAATCTGCGGAGAACTCGAATACGTCGAGTACACATTGCTATGGTATTCTAGAGGTAAAGAGAGGCAACTCGAGGGGGCGAAGGTTGAGTAAATTTGCGGAAAAGCCGAGCAATTAGATTCCCGCGAAAGCACGCAGTGCAGGACGTGCGGGCTTAATACGCGATTCTCGCATCCCCACAAGAGGTAGAGAATCGAAAAGGAAATTTGTTCGAAATTTGCAAAGGAAACGTGTGTCGAAATTTATTTTATATTATATATATGTAAATAAAAAAAGAAATTATAATTTCTTTAAAATTGAAGAAATAAAGAAAATTAAAATCTTTAAAGATAAAAAATTATTGATTTTGAATTTATTGATAAAGAATTTTTTCAAATCATATTAAGTATTATAATAAAGGATGCTAAGTATTTGTGATCATATTAAAACTACTTATCAAGTCATAAAGCTAAGATTTCTCAATATGATTTCGCTATATGGTATTAATGACTTATTTATCAGTAATTTTCATCAATTCTTCCCCACCCCCCTCCCCTGTTATCATTGACAACCAATCTACACGAATATCAATTTTAATAGCGTGACGTTTACCCATTGTGAATCACTTCTACAATGTTATTGGCATTGATCCCATCTTGATGTTGTAACAAAAGTTGAACGCAGATATCTGCTATAACTTCTTTTTCATTGGTTTCCATGATATTCTTTTTCCAACCGCACTTATAAACTTTTCCTTTAACTTTCATACAATCGATCAAAGCTCTTTCCGCTCTGAATGATCTTACAAAGAATTTAACTGTGCGCAACTATAACTTTTGTATCTTATACAGTTATATAGAATATGCACCTTGTCTTAAATTTCTTCTTCATCTTCTTGGAAAAAGTTTCATTTCCAATAATAATAATAATAATAATAATAATAATAATAATAATAATAAATTGAAAAGTCAACATACAATAAATATATTATTAATTTCATCGTGAAAGTTTATTTTTCATATGGAGTTTTGAATAAAAATTTAGTTGATCAGGAGAGCGGAAGGTTCAAATTTGTAACATCGAGCTTATGACCGGGTGATTTATATCCATTAATGATTTTATTATTTTATCACTGAAAGCTAAAAAATCTTTTTCTCTTTTGTTGCAGGTAAGATTCTAGTTCAAACATCCGAAAAAAATAAAATGGAAAACAATAAGTGAGTTTTTATATTTTTTCCAATAATTTTTTTTCATTATTCTCTAAATAATTAATTACAATTTTTATTTTAAATTATTTTATAAGAAATAGTATTTTTTTATAACCAAACTTTTAATCTACGAATAAAAATTTGATAGATTTTCTTTTTATACGAATTTTTATATAAAATAAACGTTTAGCTACATCATTTTTTTTGGCAAAATTTTTCTTTTACAGTAATTTTTTTATATAAAAGATATTTTAATTTAACAGAATTCTCATTCAATCTAATTTTATATGATTCGAATTTTTAAACGACAAAAATTCCAATTTACTTAATTTCAAATTTGTCGGAATTTTTAATTGGTCGATTTTAGAAATTGCGACGAAATTATTCCGTCAATTGTTTGTTCCACCCTTTGTAATTTCGGACAAATGAAAATTCGGTGAATTGAAATTTCTCTCATTACGGTGTCCAACAATCAGGATAACTCTCCAGATCAAAGTCATGAAATTGATTTTAGTAACAAATTATAAAAATTACAGCAAAAACGCCGCCAATTTTAATTTCTGCTCTAACTTTCCATAAAAATATTGCAAAAAAAAATATTTTAATTTCTCTTTCCTATTTTTACTAAAAACTATAGTAGAAATTAAAATGGCACGATTTATGCTATATTTCTACGATAAACCATAGCAGAAATTAATATGGCGCCATTTTTGCTCTATTTTTACGAAAAAAGTAGAGCAGAAATTAAAATTTAGCCATTTTAGCTCTACTTTTGCATAAAACTAGGGCAGAAATTGAAATGCCGACATTTTTGTGTTAATATTTCGTAAAAATAGAGCAAAAACGGTGCAATTTTAATTTCTGCTGTAGGTTTAAGGGAAAAGTAGAGCAGAAATTTAAATGGTACCGTTTTTGCTCTATATTTATGAATAACTAGAGTAGAAATTAAAATTGCGCGGTTTTTGCTCTAGTTTTCCGTAAAAATATGGCAAAAACGCGGCTACTTTAATTTGTACTGTAATTTTTCGTAAAAGTAGGGCAAAAACGACGTCATTTTAATTTCTGCTCTAGTTTTTCGTAGAAATAGAGTAATAAACGGTGCAATTTTACTTTCTGCTCTAGTTTTACAAATAATAGAGCAGAAATTAAAAGTGCACCGTTTTTGCTCTATTTTTCCATAAAAATATGGCAGAAATTAAGATGGCGCTACTGTGTTTGCTCTACTACTGCAAACAACTAGAGTAGAAATTAAAAAGTCGCCGTTTTTGCTATATTTTTACTAACTGAAGAGCAGAAGTTAAAATGGCGCAGTTTTTTCTTTAATTTTCTGTAAAAATATGGCAAATACGGTGCCATTTTAATTTCTGCTCCGATTTTACGGAAAAATATAGAAAAAAACGTCGACAATTTAATTTCTGCTCTAGTTTTACGGAAAAATATAACAAAAAGTGGTAATTTTAATTTCTGCTGTAATTTTAGTGTAAAAATATGACAAAAACGGTGCCATTTTAATTTCTGCTCTAGATTTTTGTAGAAATAGAGCAAAAATGGTACCATTTTAATTTCTGCTTTAGTTTTACTGAAAAATAGAGAAGAAATTAAAATGTTACCGTTTTTGCTCTATTTTTTCGTAAAAATATGTCAAAAAGTTGTCATTTTAATTTCTGCTGTAATTTTTGCGTAAAAATAGGGCAAAAACGGGGCAAATTTAATGTATGCTCCAGTTTTTTCGTAAAAGTAGGGCAAATTTAATTTATGCACTAGTTTTTCGTAAAAGTAGAGTAAAAACGGAGCGATTTTAAAAATTTTGTTGAGTAAAAAGTTAAAAAAGAAATTCTGTCAAATGCAAATTCGAAAATTCAAAAAATTCCTCTAAAAAGTAATTATTTCTAATAAAAATTCGAACTATTTATTTTTAAGGAATAGTCATGCGTCCCTAATTTACTGTGTAGAGTTTTGTTTCGTAGTATTTAAATTACATTGAGAAAAAATTCGCATTTTAATTTTATTTTGCATTATGTATAGAATTTGTGTTGTAGTAGTAAAATTTTCAAAATTTAGGGTTTATTTCGGATTTGTACTGCCTTATTGTATTCAAATAATCCATAAATCAAAATTACTCTAGATGAATTTTACCCATCCTTAAGCTAGTCGGGTTAATGTTAGAAAATATGCGTGACACTTGCTTGGAGAAATTTCTTAGAAAAGCTTTGGAATTTTGTTTGTTTTTTTGCTTATTTTCCTTATTTATATACTAGCGCTTGTATATATAGAGAGAGAAGAGGTTCACTTGATTCCAAAACCGTATTTCAAGAAAAAGGAGGAAGAGAGACAGAAATAGAGAAAGGGGAGGGAGGTGGTAAAGAACGAGAATGAGAAAATGCAAGGACGTTGAGAGGACGTTCAAAGGCAAGACTTTGCAGCAGAGATGATCTTGTTTACGTACCGGGTATCGATTTACCAAGATCCAAATACTCTCGTACCGACGGACTCAAGAATCCGGGTGGTACCACTGGCGCCTCATTGGTAGGATTGTTCCTTTGACCCACGTCATCATCATAGTAATAGTCATCTTCGTCTGGATCCAAAGGTTTTGCCCTCTTGGACACCTTATTACCACTTTGCTCCTCAACTCCAACTGAAAACAAAATCAATTAATATTTCAAAAAAAAAAAAATCTCTTATTATTTTTCTCCTCCTTTGAAAAGTCAATAATAAATCAGTAATTAAATATTAGAGGAGGGAAAAAAGAAGAATACAGTTAATTATCTGAATGAGAAAGAGTTCAAAAGAGCAAGAGTAAAAAAAAAAATAAATTCATCTTCGTAACGAAGCTCGATGAACGAATCGATTAATTATTTAATGAAGTTTCATCTCTGTCTATTTTCCTGCGTCCATTTGTTTTAACAAGTCTTTTCCTTTTGCGTTTTAACGTTGGGATCAGGGAAGGTTTTCCGCGAGAGGTCGATCGTTCACAACCGTACACACCGTAAGTTAGATATAACGAATACCTGCGTAATTAGTTCGTCTTTGATGAGAAAACTCGCTAGTACTCGAGACACCCAAACTGGAAGCTTCATTCGCGCACGAGTAAAGAGAATGAGCAAGGGAGAAAGAGAGAGAGAGAATAAGAAATATAAATTCAGTCAGTTGCAATGTGAGTGGAACACGACGAAAGAGAGAAATATAAAAGGAGAAAATGAAGAAAATGAGAAGACGATAGAGAAAGAGAGACTATGTAAACTTTGTACAAAGGAGAGCAGATCGTTTTCTGCACTGTTAAAAGGCCTTTCCTTTTTAAACGCAACGAAAGAAGATTCTTCTTCAACACTCTCTCTCTCTCGCTCTGTGTAAAAGTGAAGACAACGATTTATTCTTTCAACGAAGAATTTCACTTGATTTCCGCGAAAAACGAGCTCTCTTCCGTTTTGACGTGACTTTTCTTTTGCCAGGTTAAACTTTATGAAGCAGGGCTCACCTTTCAGAAATTAACTAATCTAAACTGAAAACGGATTTCTCTCTTGTGAAAAAAGAAAAAATAAAATAAAATAGATTTCAAGAAGAACATGTTCAAAGGTTTTCGTAATATTCTCCTTTAACTATCTTGTCAAACTCAACAAGATCCATTAATTTTTCGAGACGCATGAATATGTTCGAAAAATCATTAGTTGGAATTTTCATTTGACAGAATTTATCATTTGAGAAAATTTTTTTTGCACCAAATTTTTTAAACCGCATTATCTCATAATAATCATTAATTAAAATTTTCATTTTAAAAAATTTTATTAGATACCTATAATTATTTTTCAGACGAATTTTTATTTTTCAAATTAAAAATTTCTTTTTAAACAAATTTTTTACTTAACAGAATTTTTGGGAAACGAATTTTTGTTTGCTAGAATTTTTAAAACGCCGAATTTTATTTTATCCGAAATTGCAACAATCGATTGTGGCGCGATTTTTAAAATTTATAAATCAAATGATTGTCAAGAAAATTGTGATTGATGGATTTTAAAAATCGCGCCGAAATCTTTTTATAGGTTTTTTTTTTTTTTTTGAGGGGGCATTTGCAATTTCGGTCCAATTCGTCCCTTTAGAAATTCTATCAAATAACAAAACGTGATTGGTTAATTTTAATAATCGCGCCGAAAACTTTCTGTCGATTGTTTGTTCGGCCATTTACAATTTCGGACAAATAAAAATTTAGTGTGTTTTAAGAATTCTGGCAAAAAGAAAAATTTTTTAAAAATAAAAATTCTGTGAAGTGAATTTTCGGTTGCATAAAAATTTTCCAATACAGAAAATCAGTTTTATGAAAATTCTACCAAATAAGAATTTGGACAAATAAAAAATCGGCAAACGGAAAATTATATCTAATAAAAACTAATTATAATTTTTAATTCTATTCAATGAAAATTCTAATATTTTTTAGAACTTATTATATTCATGGATCCTAATTTTTCTTGTCGTTTTGAAACAGAATTTCAAAATTTTTGTTATTAAAAAAAAAAACCAACTGTTTTTTGCTGATTTCCATTTTATGATATTATCAACAAAAAGATTTATTGATTCAGTTAAATTTTTTGCTAAAAAATAAATATAAATATTCTATTAGTTGAAATTAAAATTACGGCAAAATCAACATGAATGAACTAGAAAAAAAAAAATTTTTGCAGGACTTTATAGGATCTGATTTTCTCTATATATATATATTGCGCGTGTGAAAAGCTGCAGAAGCCGATATAAATATGATTCGCTAATTTGAAATTATCCGCGCGTAACTATGATTATGCACACTTCAATATCAGTTTGCACAAATGTATTAAAACAAACGCTTTTTAACCATAAATAATATTCAAAACGAAAACACAATTTCCATAATACTAATATCGAATTCACGAGCATGAAAATTTTAAAAGCTTGAAAATATTTGTTTCTCTTATTCAGAAAATAAATTTCTGGAAAAAAAAATCAACTGTGAATATGTACGTAGGTGAATATAGTTGTTGAAAAATAAAAAAAAAAAAAAAATAGCATCCCAAAAAGTGATAAATTAATCTAATTTGAATTAGTGGATTTCAGATTAAGTATTAATCTCTTTTAATTTAGCATTTTCGAGAAATTCAGATTTTTTTTTTAAACGCGTTTAAGCGCAAAAGATGCGGTTGTAAGTAAGCGATTGAGGATCATCTCTCTCTCTAAATCTCACTGACAAGCTTGACAAGCTTTCTAAAGCAAAGATGCACGGGAAGATTGAAGCACTGAATTTAACTTATTTGAGCTTACTTTAATCGAACTGGGTACATTTTTTTTTAGTAGTTTCACTGAGAAATCTCTCAAAGTCCCTAAAAAAGTAAATTTAAAATGAAATCTTCGTAGAAAAATTATTTTTCAATACGAAAAGAATTTTTCTTTATTAAATAAAATGATAATAATTAATAAAAATTAATAAGAACAATGCCATTTTCTATCTGGCAATTATTTTCCCCTAACTGAATTTTAATTTCTCAAAATTTTTAATATTTCAAAAAATAATTATTATTTATCTGAATTTTTTTACAAATTTTTAATTGATAGAATTTTTAAAACGCCGAATTTTCAATTTGTCCGAACAAACAATTTGACAGAAAGATTTCGGTGCAATTTTTTGAAAATTGACCAATCACGATTTTCTTGATAATTTCTAATTATGTTCGCAAACGCAGTTGTAATTTCGGGCAAATTTGAAATTCGGCTGCTAAAAAATTTTTTATGTAAAAATTCGATTGTATGAGAATTCTGGTAAATTAAAATTCGCCTCAATAAAAAAATTTTTAAAGAATAAAAAATCATTTTAATTAAATGACTGTAAAATAAAGGTAGCTAAAAATTTTGTTATTATAAAAATTCGTATAAAAAAAAAATGTATCAAATTTTAATTCGGAAATTGGTCTAAAAAATAATTATTTCTTTATATAAAATAAAAATTCTAATTAATGATTTTTATATAAGAAATTCTTGGGCATTGAAAAATTAAAATTCTTTCTAATAAAAGATATAAAAAATATGATTCGATGTTAAAAAAACAAAAGTCTTTGATTAAAACAATTCTAATTCAACGATTCCGCTGCGGTTCTTTCACCACAATAAACAAATTATGTAATCGGTAACTTATCAACTCCTACATATGTTCTATATAAATATATCCTGAGAGGTAAATATATATTCTAGTTTGCAATGTCAGTTGTAGGATGAAACTACACTGCCAGTGCCAGGCTCTTTATTATATATATGTATATAGTATTCGTGTTCGCACTGCAATAACTGGACCGTTAGGAAGTACATAAAAAAAACTCAGGCTTTCTTCTAAACCGGTTTTTAACGGCAAGTCGGTCGAGTGAGTAATTAGTTTTAATCTGGTAAACTGAAGTTCTTTGTACGTTTGCAAAAAAAAAAAAAAAAAAAAGAAAGATTAAAGGTAATTATTTTGTTGAAACAGCTATAAAAATAAGCTTCTATTGCGAATAGTCATAAGTTTCGATATGGCTTAATAATTAATTTATACTTCCACTCAGGAGATCCTCTGTATTTTATTTCCGAAAGTTGTTAATTTTTTACTAAATTAATTTTTTCTTTATTATTTATTGGCATAATTATAGGAAATTATTATGGTTATTATTATCTCTTAGAGACACATTTGGATTTAGCTTATTTCTTGTTTTGTCGGGTGTGTTAAGCCAGTTTTTGCCAGCACACAAATTATTTACAGTATTTCTAAATAAGTAAGAAGGCATAAATCCCACAGAGAGAAAAAGAGTGATAAAAAAACAAAATAGACGAACTTGAACTTTAATAGTTTTTCCGCTTGTATAATTAAGTATTTTTATAAAATTATTTTTTAGGGGCTCATAAATATCACATAAAAATCATTAGCTATAGAATTTTCATATGAATTTCATTTGACAGAATTTTTTTTTTTTAATTTTATGTTTCGAATTAGCATATTTTGAATTACTTTGTAATTTTATTTAACACAATTTTTAGGTAATTTGACATAATTTTTATTTTAAAGAATTTCTTTTTATCTACCTTTTATTTAAAAGAATTATAATTCTTTTAAATGAAAGATGGATAAAAAGAAATTCTTTAATATAATAATTACCTAAAAATTATGTTAACCCTTTGCGGCATAGTGACACTCCTGAGTGTCACCTTTTTTCTTGCACTTTTTTGAATTGATCGGATATGATCAATTTAAAAAAAAATTGTCCGCCATATTGGATCCGCCATTTTGAATTTTGAAAATTTTTTTAATCTGGCTTCGGATTCGTAATCAGCGACCCTTAAAACCCCCTATAATGCACTTAAAAGATAAATTCCTGTTAAAGAAAAATGTATGCTTCAAAGGGTTAAATAAAATTTCGTTTACAAAGTAATGCAAATGCTAATTATAGAAAAATAAAATTTCTAAAAAGAAATTCTGTCAAAATGAAATTCATACAAATAAAAATTCTATAGCTAATGATTTTTATGGGATATTAATTTTTATTTATTCTTGCATAAATGGTGAAAGGCAATACAATAGAATATTGTAAATACAAAATTGTAATTAATCTTATTTCTCTGTAAATTAACATATGTCCAAATAGACACGAATTT